TTCTCTTTTTTTTTTTTGCAGGTGTCCGTTGGAAAGCAAAGCAAACCAAAAAAAAAAAAATTAAACGGGTACCGGTACCGGTACCGGGGGTGCCGGTAACAAAAAATTGGCACCGGAACCGGTAATGAGTGGGGCGGTATCGGTACCGGTTCTCGGAACCGGTGGTACGAACCGGCCTACGGTGACGGTGGCCCGAGTACCGGCGGTACCGTTGCCGATCACGGTACCGTACCGATACCGTGGCCACTCCTATTTAATACAATATGAAATGACAAAATTCTCTTATTTCAATTTAGTTTCAACTTATCCAAAATTCTTAATTTAAAAAAGTCCTAATTTGAATCCAACAGAAATCAAATTACAAGTAACTAATTGATACTCTATCTGTTCCAAATGAATTTGTATGTTTACTATTTTTATGACCAAACTTTAGTTAGTTTCTCTCTATTTTTGTCAGTCATTTAATAGAATAATATAACCATATCATCATTAGTTTTATAGATCTTTTGTAGTTTTTAAACATATAATTTTTTTTGATTCTACACCAACTTTGATATAAAACAATTTAGGCCAAACGAAATTAGATTCGAAGTTCTAACTATCCGTAACTCAAATTATTAGGCCAAACGAAATTAGATTACACTCTCTCCGTAGTATTTGATGCAAAGATTTGGAGTGCATCAGTAAGGGGAAAAAACTGAGTAAAATATTAAAAATATACTCCCTCCGTTTCTTAAAACCCTTCCTCTTTCATTTTTTTGTTTTTCCTAAAACACTTACATTTTCTATTAAAAAACCACTTTTACCCCTACTTTTTTCATACCCTACCTATCACATTATACTTTTTCACTAATAACTAAACTATCACATCTTACTTTTACCCATTACATCAGGGGCAAAATTGGAAAGTCATCTAAAATTACACTTTTCTTATTTTTTCCCAAAGTCAAAACAAGAACTGTTTTGAGAAACGGAGGGAGTATCAAAATAGAAATTCTATGTTGTTATTCCCGAAATAGGATTTAAGATCTATTTATATTACTAAACATGGTTATGGTCATGTACATTACTAAAAAGTATAGTAATATGCGTATGTACAGTGCCACATTACAACAATATAACCACAATGCGAAGTCTTATTTCGAAAATAAAAACATGAAACTCCTATTTTAGTATTTTTCGTCCTATATTTTAATTTTATTTAGGGTGATTTCTAGATCATTAAATCTATTTACCTGTACAGCAACAGTGATAGTTGATGGGATTAAATTTCCTCTCGTTAAAATAAGAAGAGGATTTTTCATTCTTTTATTGTGATTTGTAATCACATTAAAAGACATCTTTTTGTAGTGGATGATAGTTGATACAACCCATCTTGCTCATCATTATAGGAGTGACTTTCATAAAAACAACCGTCACAACATAAACCACGTCTCTCTTCGTGGAAGAAACCACCAATTGGGCGGGTTAAGCTTAACGTCGGATAGATCGTTAGAGACTATAACGGTAGTTTCTGTGCTGCAAAACATTAGGCTCAAGAAAGTTTATGTGACTGATTGTTATCTCTATCAACTGAGATTGATCAAAATGTGCAACAGATTCCAAAAAACAATTCTGAAGTACGTTCTGTCACATGAAAAACATTCTCCAAGCAATAGTTAGCGTTGGAAACGAAAAGATGATTTATAAACTTCAAAAAAAAAAAACGACACGAGTAGTAATGATTTATTAATGGCAACACTGATACCACTAAAACAAGAAAGGCATTAATGGAAACGAATCTGGTTTAGTCAACCACGGCGAGTTTCTGATACTCTTCGCCGGAGATGGCTGACTGCATGACCTCCACAGGGCTGATAATCCCGTCTCCCTCGAAGAACATCTTCAACAGATTCTTTGAAAACCCACTCACCAGAGCCACTCCCTCCTGGCTCCCCGGCACCGGCGTGGCCCTCGAGTCCCTCAGGTTCCAGAAAACAATCTGTGGGATCGCCTCCCCGTAGCCCTTCTCATTGAACTTCCTCACTATCTTCTGGTAATCCGTTTCCCAGGTAGCCCTTCTCATAGAACGATCCTAGGTTCTTGAGGCTTGGTCGAATTCCATGTCGCTGAAAACGAAAAGCCTCTTGATCATCTGCTCCGGCTTCAATTTCCCCTGCACGGCCACATTCAGGATCAGATCAAACACCTTCTGGAAGTCCGTGTTCATCCCCCAATCCATCCTCCTTACGAAGCTAGTCTTCTCCCGCAGAGAAGAGCCACTGACCATCTGAAGGGTCGGGTTTGCCCTGAAAGTGATCAGCTTCCCCTTCCATGGCTCCTCGCTCAGCTCGGAAACAAGAACGCCTAATGCCACCGAAACTTCCATTGGAGTTCCTTCCATGCTTCCCGAGACATCGCAGATTGCCATGCAGTTCCTCAGCTTCCCTCTCTGGAGAAGATCGTCCACCATTCTCTTCCACTGCAGCTCTGCTACTTCCCCTCCGTCAGCTTCGCCATCATTCAATGCCTGGATTATCTCGTGCGGTAACAGAGCGCCCGCCGCTATTTTAGCTTCCCCCTTTTTCACGGCCTCCAGAAAGCTCTGGAATCGTTCCGCATCATGTTTGAGAAACTTTTCCTTGTAGAATTTCATGGCGACGGAGGGGACTCTGTTGTAGGGTATGGAGTCCCAGCGGTTGGCTCAGATGTAGATTTCCGGCAATTCTAGAACCTTCCGGAGAGGAACAAGGACTTCCTTCCGGAGACGGTCCCGGACTCTGTATATGTAATGAGCGTCTTCGATTCCTTCGTATTCTGGATGGGACATTCTGGGGAACACCTTCTGTGCAATGGCTTCACATAACAGAGTTGACCGATCGAAGGAGGAATCGATGGATGGGCACCATTTTGCTGCGAGGCTTATCTTGTTCATCTCCCCTGCCTTCAAGCGCTCCAGATCGGCTCTGAGAGCTTCCCCGAAGAAATCGGAGATCCGGTCATAGAGATACCGGAAATCTCCATCGCCGTTGTATTTATCGATCACCTTCTTCGCCATAACAAGTTTCCTTTCTTCTTTGGGCAGAGAGGGAACCATGTACATAACTTTCTTCTTGTTAACTGTTCCCTTATTTTTCATCTTAATACTCTTTCTGACCGCGAGATGCTTTCTCCGATCCCATTCAGTCTTCTGCGTGGATCTAACATCGGCGCCCTCGAGAAGGCGAAATAGAATCTCAGGCATGTCCTTGATGTAACCGAAATCCGCCAAGTGGGATATATTTGAGGCTAGGGTTTTGGGGTGGTGGTTGTGGAGCCAAATCGCCGCCGTGTAAAACCCTTGCTTGTCGGATTTCCCGGTACCGCGGACGCCTCTGAGGTTGAAGATGAGTTTGAGCGCGGTGGAAGGGTCGTGCTGCCACGCGGCGGAAAGCCGCGCTTCGAGGGATCCCGCCGGGGTGTCGGGGACGACATGGAAGAAGAAATCGAGGCAGGGGTCGCCGGATGAGAGATAGGTAGCCGCCATGTTCTCGGTGAAGCCCATCGGCGGGGAGGATTTGGCTGCGTTGAAATTGGCGACCATGAGATCCACAAATGGATCGCCGGATGATGGTGGTGTGGTGTTGGTTTCAATCGATGGCAGGGCGGCGTTTCGGAGCTCCGGTGGTCCGAGTAGAGCCATAAGGTTTATCGGCAATTTGAGAGAGCGTTTGTTTTGGGTGAACGCCGGAAAATTGAGAGTTTGTTGTGGCGAAAAAACCGACTGATACGCTGCTTTAATAGGGAAAGGATTCTTGACGCCCAAGAACCAAATACGGAGCACTCTGTAAGTACGTAAATACCCCCATCATTATTTCTGGTCAATGTTAATATCATGAAAAGAAAAAGATTAAGGTATAACTAAAATATTGAAAATATATGAAAACTAAAAGTTTTAATGTTTTAGTTCTCGAAATAAGAGTTAAAATGTATTTATTATATGCAGAGTGCGTGCCCATTGTGATAAAAATTCACTTGAATTTCTATTTTTCGGAAGAAGTTGTAAAGAAATTCTGAAAGAACGCTCCTAATTTTTGCGCGATTATACGCGAGCTTCAGAAGAGTGATGTCATCATATCGCTTCTCCCTCTCCACTTCTATAAGTATCCGGCAAGGCTTGGTCAAAAATCAAATATGTCCAAAAAACATTACATCTTCTTCATATTTCGTTCTTAAATTCTCTGAATTTTATCTGGTTGAAAGATTTGTGTGATCCGACAAATTATTTAATCTAAAAGTGACTTCACACCCTTCAGAGGTTCCAAATACTCAAATAGTATACTCCTAACTAGGGGTAAACGAACTGAATCAAAACGAATACTGAGATATTTGAATTTGTATTTGTTTAATTTTTTCGAATACGAATCTAAATCCAAATATGAGACGAATTCAAAATAAGACTTGAATATGTATTTGATTAATGTTTGAATAGTTAACGAATCCTAAACGGATATTTGAATAATCATACTCTATAATTTATATGATGGACCAACATCAATTCGTAATTTAACTTACGATACTTCTTATAATATACTCCCTCCGTTCCATAAAGATGAGTACGGTTTGACTAAATAGAAATTAAGGGAGGGATAATTTTGTGTTGACTTTCCAAAAATACCCTTGATGTGATGGGTAAACGTATGATGTGATGTGTAGATTATTAGAAAAAAGGTATGTTGTGATAAGTGGGGTTTGAAAAAGTAAGGAGTAAAAGTGGTTTTTTAATAGAAATATGTAAGAGATTGTGGGACGCAATTTTTTTGAAACGTGTAAATCTTTTTGGGACGGAGGGAGTACTATAACTATACTCCGTATCTAAAAACATTAATATATTTGTATCTTACACAAATTATATTTTATAAAATATAACTATTAAAAATTATATGATTTAGATTTTCGTGTTACGTTAATCTGTCGAATTATTAGTAATTTAAATACACTTTATACTATATTAGTTTGCTTAACTATTCATGTTGAAAACATGGTCAACATGGTCTGTGCGTATATACATATATTCGAATATTCGAATATCATCCGAATCGAATATATCTTTATTTTTATTTGTATTTGTTTAATATTCGAATCAAAAATAATACGGAGTATTTGAATTTAAATTTGCATTTGAGTAATTAAAAATTCGAACCATTCTATTCAAATACAAATCACATATGAAATTTAAAATATTTGATTTCTTTACATCCTACTCTTAACATCTCTCTTGAGGATTTGTGGAGTAATCTCAAATCAAGGAATAATTAAAAATAAAAAGGACAAAGGGCTGCTTGGGGTAGTGGCGCATACAGTCGCTTTATACCTTGTGTTGCTGCCAAACAAGTGGATGTTCTTTTTCTACATTTCCGTATTGTTGTTTTTTAAGGCTCTTTTTCATTGTTTTTTATTTAATAAAATCATTTTAAATTCTTCAATTAAATTATGCTCCATATTTTCTTTGTCTAAGAAAGGATTACACGCTACATTATTCAAACGTTACATATATTTTTGTTGGTTTGTGTAATTTGATTGTTTATTTGATTAAATAAAAAGTTTTTTATCACTTCTTGTTTTGTAAAATTTTGGCATAGTTTTTAAATTTGTAAGCCTTATTTTAATCTTTAAATAAAACGAAGTAGAAAACATTTGAACTCATAGTTCGTTATTAGGTTGGTTTAAAAATACATTAAAATCAATAAATTTTAATCACAAATTTTCTGTTTTAAACATTATTTTTAAACATTTCCTCTAATAAATAATAATTCTCTCCGGTTCTATACTCTTTCTTATTTTAATTTTTTTGGTCAAACAATGACAGCCATAGATTTAATACCCGTGCCTAAGCTATTGGAGCCGCGTAATTGGGTTGTCTTGCAGCTTCGTATCTCGGAAGTATTTGCTACTCCCTCCGTCCCAGAGTATTTGTCCACTTTCATTTTTACACACCATCCAATACACTTCTTTAATCCATTTTATCATGTAATTTGTATATTAAAAAATTATATATTAATAATCTATATGTTAAGACATCAAACAAGATCACACATGACTATATTTAGGCTTACACATTGAGAGAATTTGATGAGTCAAAGTGCACAGATGAACAGTTCCAAAAGTCAAAAGTGGACGAATATAGTGGGACGGAGGAAGTATATCTAAAAAATATCATAACTATCCTCGCTTTATTTTTTTAACAACTCAATAACTAAGCCACTGCATTTAATACATCGACCCACTTTCGTTAAAAACACAAAAAATAATTTTGAGAAGATTTATGACACATATATATTAATTTTTTCTGTAATTATTTATAGAACTTGGAATTGTTCCCATGAACCTGCTATTCTTTTTACTTATTTTTTTGAATGCCTTTTTACTAATTTTTTTAGGGTAAACCCGCATATCATTAACCAATCAAATGAGAAATACAAGCAGTGCGGTTCGGATAGCCAAGCATTGTCACCAACTTTAGAGTAGGCGTGGGTTCGGTTTTCACCCAAAACCAAAGACAAAACGGAAGGTAAATTGGCGGTTCGGTTCGGTTTGGTTTTGCATTAAAAAAAAGTAAATCGTTGGTTATTCGGTTTGCTTTTATACGGTTTTTATTTTGGTTTTATTCGGTTTTTTCGGTTTATAAAAGTAGAAATTTATAACCATTAAAAAATTGTAAAAACACTAACTCGATGAAACAATAACAATATGTAGTGTTAACTTTGGTTTTTTGTTTGATTTTTACACAAAATTAAAAAACCAAACGGAAGGTTATTATTCCTTTTGGTTCAATTTTACATAAAAAATATGTGTTGAGTGTCCAACAAACATTTAGAAGATTCCAAATACTTCCAAAGACATCGTATGTAAAATCAATAACGAAGAATTTATGGTTTTTGGTATAATACTTTCATTTTCATTATAACATCAAAGTATTTTTATGTAAATATATAAATTACTCCTATCAATGTTTAATATTAATATAATTCTATATTAGGATTAGCTATTGGTGTTCATATTCTTAGATTTTTTTTTAAAATTTATATTAATATGGCTAGAATGTTTAATTAATAGTTAAGAAAATAATTTTAATCGACTAGTAATTTATTTGCATTTATATTTCTATGATTTTTCTACCAATCACATATATTCATATAAATAAAGTGAAGTAACTAAGAAAGTTCGGTTTATTCGGTTCGGTTCGGTTTTTCAAAGTGAAAACCAAAACGGAACCAAACACTAACGGTTCAGTTCGGTTTTTTTACATTCGATTTCGGTTTTTTGGTTCGGTTTTTTTTCTAGCTCGTTTCGATCGATTTCGGTTCGGTTTTTGGTTTTCGGTTTTCCCAACCCAGCCCTACTTTAGAGTTTTTAGCCAAACTATGCGCTAGAGAATTAAAACTACGAGAGAAATAAAAGAAATGTAATTGTGAAAAATTAGATGCCAAAATCCTACACTCACTCTAAAATAATGCCCAGATATGAATGATCTTCAACAAACCTCTTATTTAAAGATTGAATGAGCAAAGAGAAATCGGAGAAAAAAGCTACCTCCGTGATGCCCCGCTCTATGAGCCAAGACAACGCTTCCTTAACTGCGAAGGCCTCCGCAACCCTTGCATCAAAAGGGCAAAGAATGATCTTACTAAAGTGGTAGAACACCTCTCAAAGCCCTCCACATGCAAACACTAATCTTAGGGGGGGACCTTCAACTTCCAGAGTTTGCATAGGGATGTGCACCGGTCCAAAACCGGACCGGAACCGGAATCATGCATATCTTAAGACCCGAAGACCGGACCTGTTGGTTACCGGTCTGGACCGGTCCGGCCCTGAATTTTCTGGTTCGGTCCGTGTTTATCCTATTATGGACCGGATTAGTTATATTAAAAAAATCACAATCCTAACAAAATGTTGAAACTATCAAAGTGCCAAATTCAAATGGAAAATGGATATTTCCCCAGTATTTCCCTTAAAAAAGAACAACTATTTAACACGAAATATCTTAGAACCCCTTCACCATACAGAGTAGGGGTGAGCATCGGTTCGGTTCGGCAGGTTTCAGCCCAAAACCGAAATAACCGAAAATTAAAAGTACTCATAATAACTGATCGAACAGAACCGAATTAAAGCGAGAACCGAATAAACCGAACCGACAAAAAACCGATCGGGTTAGGTCGGTTTGAAAAAACCAAATTAGTTAAACAAAAAAAAATTTCTCTCTTTTGTTGGGCTCTTCCAATGGAAAAATTGACTCCATTGACTTTGCTCTAGAATTTTGATCTAATCATGAATAATGAAAAAACAAAAAATTAGTTAAACAAAACAAAGTTGGGAAAAACAAATTACACACTTAATTTAACAAAGAAATAACACACTTAATTTTGCAAAGAAATTTGAAAAAACACTTAATTTACAAACTTAATTTAACAAAGAAATTTGAAAACACACTTAATTTAACAAAGAAATTACAAGGTCCACTTAAAAAGAAAAGAAAAGAATTGGTAACTGGAGTCTGGAGAAGACGTCTGTCGACTTTACTTGCTCGGACCGCATGAATGACTTTGAAGTTGGCGTCCACTTTTGATGATGGTCGGCCATGGCTAGTGATGCATCTCAAAGAATAATACTCCGTAATTAGCTACAAAAAAGAATGAACAAACCTGGTGATTGCCGATTGGTGACGCCGGAACGGAGATGGTGATTGCCGATTAGATCTTGACGTCGGTTTGAGAACGCCGGAACCGGGAGAATGGGAGATGGTGATGGCCGATTGGTGAGGACCGAGAACGACACAGCCACAGCCGGATTTGGGACTTGCCCCTGCCGACTTGGGACTTGGGAGACGGATTGGGAATTGGGTTGGGAGAAGGGCTGGGAATTGGATTTTTTTAAGTGGCTAATTTGGTCGGCTTACATATATTTAAAACCAAAAACTAAAATCGAATTTAAAATTACGATCGGTTCGGTTAAATTGTATCGATTATCGGTCAATTCGATTAAGGCTCCGTTTGGCATAAGCGTTAAAGATTAGTATTAGCGTTTTGAAAAAGCTATCCGACGGTAGCCTTCAGCGTTAGCGTTTTCAGAATGAATCTGCACCATTAAATTTTTATCCAAAACGCTGTTTTTGTTCTTCTCTTAAATTGCTCACCCCTAATACAGAGAAGAAATAATGTCTACCAAGGGAGAAGACATGCTCTCTCAAATATTTTAGGAAATAGAAGTAGAAATTGAATTTAAACCTCTTCTCCTTGTCTTTTTTTTTCATTTCTGTTAGCAGCAATCCGCATTACGCAACCAGGGATTCGAGAACGAAAAGCAGAGGACGAGCAACGATCCTGGAAAAGGAGGAGCTGATTGACGAGATGCGAGTATGCGACGAAGGAGGAGCTGATTAACGAGTTGCAGTTGTAGGGCCTGTTTGGAAATAGCGTTAGAGATTAGCGTTAGCGTTTTGGATAAAATTTTAACGGTGCAGATTACTTTGAAAACGCTAACGCTAAACGCTGCCCGTAGATAGCCTTTTCAAAACGCTAACGTTAATAGCTAACGCTATTCCCAAACATGCCCGTAGGCGATAAAGAGATGCGGGAATGCGGCAGTAGTGTAGGCTCTGCGCTTGGTCACAGGTTTGATTAATTGGACTGGGCTTGGATAGTTGATTAGTGGATAAGATAGGTACAAAAAATTAATAATACTCCCTGTGTCCACCATAGATCTTCCCAGACACTATTCACTGTGTCAAACTTTACTCACTTTGTTTGCTCATTTTTATTAGTCATTTCATAAAATAATATAGTCTTGTCACCTCTAGTTTTGTAGAACTTTTCATGTAGTTTATTACTATATAAATTTTATTTTAAAATTTTACTCCTATAATCAATTAAATTGAATTAAAAATAAATTCGGTCAAGCCTCGTAACGCGTAATGGGAAGATCTTACATGGACGGAGGGAGTAATAATATATCTAAAAATTCCGGTCCAGACCGGTTATTTCCGGGTTCTATACCGGACCGGAACGGAACCCGGAATCCAAAATTTCTTAAGACCAAAGACCAAACATGATTACTTTGGGTCGATCCGGACCAGTCCATTCCGGACTGGGTCAGGTCTAATTTCTAGTCCAGACCCGTTCTTGCACACCCCTACCAATGAGTAAAACCCGAGACATTTACAGCCTCTCCACATATCAAATGAAATCAAAATTTAGTAAAAAAAACAATCTTAAATATAATTAATATCAATTGAAATAAAAATTTAATCAAATTAAATTAGAATCAATCACATAAGTCTTTTTAAAACAAATCACCCTAAAATTTCAAATATTAAAATTAAAATCTATCTAAAATTTCAAATGTATAATAATATCCCTAAAAAACTAAAAAAAGAAAAACAATAATGGAGAACTTTGTGGTTTAGTCTACCACGGCGAGTTTCTGATACTCCTCGCCGGAGATGGCGGACTGCATGACCTCCACAGGGTTGATGATCCCATCTCCCTCGAAGAAGAGCTTCAACAGATTCTTGGAAAACCCACTCACCAGCGCCACCCCGTTCTGACTCCCCGGCACCGGCGTGGCTCTCGAGTCCCTTAGGTTCCAGAACACAATCTGCGGGATCGCATTCCCGTAACCCTTCTTCTCGAACTTCCTCACTATCTTCTGGTAATCCGTTTCCCAGGAATTATGGGTTCCCCATGAATTGTAGGTTCCCGAGGCTTGGTCGAATTCCATGTCGCTGAACACGAACAGGGTCTTGATCATCTGCTCCGGCTTCAGTCTCCCCTGTACCGCCACCTTCAGGATCAGATCAAACACCTCCTGGAAATTCGTGTTCCCCCCCCCCAATCCATCCTCCTCACGAAGCTCGTCTTCTCCCGGAGAGAATCCCCTTTGATCATCTGAAGGGTCGGGTTTGCGCTGAAAGTGATCACCTTCCCCTTCCATGGCTCCTCGCTCAGCTCCGAAACAAGAACGCCTAACGCCACCGAAACTTCCATCGGAATTCCTGTCATGCTTCCAGAGACATCGCAGATTGCCATGCAGTTCCTCAGCTTCCCTCTCTGGAGAAGATCGTCCACCATTCTCTTCCATTGCAGCTCTGCTACTTCCCCTCCGTCAGCTTCACCATCATTCAATGCCTGGATTATCTCATGCGGTAACAGAGCGCCCGCTGCAATTTTAGCTTCCCCCTTTTTCACGGACTCCAGGTAGCCTTGGAATCGTTTGCCATCGTGCTTGAGAAACTTGTCCTTGTAGAATTTCATGGCGACAGAGGGGACTCTCTTGTAGGGTATGGAGTCCCAGCGGTTGGCTCCGATGTAGATTTCCGGCAATTCTAGAACCTTCCGGAGAGGAACAAGGACTTCCTTCCGGAGACGGTCCCGGACTCTGTAGATGTAATGAGCGTCTTCAATTCCTTCGTATTCTGGATGGGACATTCTGGGGAACACCTTCTGTGCAATGGCTTCGCACAACAGAGTCGACCGATCAAAGGACGAATCGATGGACGGGCACCATTTTGCGGCGAGGCTGATATTGTGTATCTCGCCGGCGTTCAATCTCTCCAGGTCGGCTCTGAGAGCTTCACCAAAAAAATCGGAGATCCGGTCAGACAAATACCGGAAATCTTCATCGGCGTTGTACTTATCGATCACCTTCTTAGCCATAAGAAGTTTCCGTTCTTCTTTGGGCAGAGAGGGAACCATGTACATAACTTTCTTCTTGTTCACTGTGCCCTTATTTTTCATCTTAATACTCTTTCTGACCGCGAGACGCTTTCTCAAATCCCATTCAGTCTTCTGCGTGGATCTAACATCGGCGCCCTCGAGAAGGCGGAATAGAATTTCAGGCATGTCCTTGATGTAACCGAAATCCGCCAAGTGAGAGATATTAGAGGCTAGGGTTTTGGGATGGTGGCCGTGGAGCCAAATCGCCGCCGTGTAAAAACTCTGCTTATCGGATTTCCCGGTGCCGCGGACGCCTCGGAGGTTGAAAATTAGTTTGAGCGCCGTCGCAGGGTCGTGTTGCCACGCGGCTGAAAGCCGCGCTTCAATGGATCGCGACGGTGTGTTGGGGACGACGTGGAAGAAGAAATCGAGGCAGGGGTCTCCGGAGGAGAGATAGGTCGCCGCCATGTTCTCGGTGAAGCCCATCGGCGGATAGGATGTGGCGCTGTCAAAATCGGATCCCATGAGATCCGGATCGCCGGATGAAGGTGGTGGAGATGTGGTTTTTGTTTCAGGCGGTGGTGATGATGGTTGTGGGGCGGCGTTTCTGAGCTCCGGCGGTCCGAGTAGAGCCATGGCCGATTAGGTTTACAGGGGATAAAATTGGGGGAGAGTTTGATTAAAGAGACTGAGGGATACGGGATACGCTGCTTTAATAGAATAGAGGTTTCTTGACGCCCAAGAAGCAAACAAGTAGCTTTATACCATCAATAAATATCCCTTAGAGCATCCACAATGGCAACATCTCTCATTAGATTCTCAAGTGTGGGCTCCACTATAAAGATGTTATTTTAGCACCTCTCTCAACATCTTATTCTTTTAATGATAGCATCTCATTTGGATGCCCAAATATCTATTCAATTAGTATAGTAGGTCAACTAATAAGCATCCACAATGGCAACATTTCTCATAAGTATTTAGTTGTATAATAAATTACGGAGTATTAATTATACAAAACTTGAAAAAATATTATATTGAAAAAAACTACTCTTTTTATTTTAAAACTAGCTTGTTCTCCATCAATATCAAAAAAAATCTAAAAACGACCTATTTCGATGTAAATCCATTTTTTAAGAAAAAATCCTAATTTGCTGCTATTTGTAAAAAAAATTACTTAAAATATTTATTGGAATTATAAAAAAAATTCATTGGAAAAGTATTTAAAAAGAGAGCTATTTAAGAAAATTGCCATAAAAAGAATTGAATATATATATGACACATGACACATAATCATTAGACCACAAAACTAAAGAAATGAATGCATGAAACCCTTCCCCCTCAAGCATCGGTGCTATGTGAAGCATCCCCCTCTCTTTTTCTTCCTTGGGCATCTATAATGAGCACTCACCTACAACAATAGCATCCTTCAACATCTCACTCTCTCTCCTCCTAGCATCTCTTGTGGGCATCCCATTAGAGATGGTCTTATAGTCTGCTTCGGGTTCTTACGAGTGAGCAACTTTGGAATTGGCCCCAAAATTTCTGAATTATTCGATAAAATTGAATAAAAAAAATACTCCCTCCGTCCCGCTATATTCGTCCACTTTTGATTTTTGGAACTGTTCATCTAAGCACTTTGACTCATCAAATTCTCTCAATGTGTAAGCCTAAATATAGTCATGTGTGATCTTGTTTGATTTGTCTTAACATATACTACGTAGATTATAAATATATAATTTCTATAATTTTTTAATATACAAATTACAAGATAAAATGGATTAAAGAAGTGTATTGGATGGTGTGTAAAAATGAAAGTGGACAAATACTCTGGGACGGAGGGAGTATAAAATTGAAAATTACTATAAATATCACAAGAATGATTGCTTCCATTTTTGAAAACAATACGAAATAACTTTTTATATGGAAAATCTCAACCGATTGAGAATATATATACACTTATATAATTATAAATATTATGATCGTTTTATATATATCTTCATTGATTAAGATCATTTTATATTTCTTCATTAATAAAGTTTATTTTGAAACTTTTTTCAAGTTTTATTATGTGCAAATTATTGCTCAAAAGCGTTTGT